TGGTTACAAATAATAAACTGGACTTACAATTTCAAACATACTACGAATAATAAGAGTTAAAAAATTCCATTAGTTTTCTGAGAGTTAAGAATAGTATTAATGAAATGAAACTGATGATGAAATTTTATCTGTATAGTAAAATGTCTCTGAAATTTGAACTTTCAACTTTCTAAGATTATTGTGGTACAAAGTTTTTGTCTACTCAAAACTGAAATTGCTTGATTTTCTTTCAGATTTCATCTTAATCTGTGTTAATGTTTTTCAGATTGATAGAGTTTGATTCCAACATCCAGGAGGAGGCATCCAAAATGCAATCACTGATTGACAAGTTACTGTTTATGATAGACAGGTGCCAATCAGATCCTGCAGGATATTCACTTTTCTCAAGCCAGGTTGCTTCTAACACTATATTTTACTGCACATTTAATGTCAAATCTGCCCAACCATTGGTGGATTGTGGAGCACTGGGAAAAATGCTTAATATCACAAAGAAGCTTCTTAATGATAAGGACAGCAATACACCTCTAAGGTGAGAGACATGTACTGTACTTTAGAACAGTTAGCAACCAGCTAGGTGTTATAGGAGGTCTTAACATTCCTAGTATCACTGTCTTGCTGAGACTTGCTGCAAAGAAGAAGAAGTGGAAGAAAAAGAAAAAGAACTCCTGCAAAGATTAATTAAACTGACCTGACGCAAAAGCTACCCATAGAAAAATCATAGGACTGCAAAGTGTCCAGAGAGCACTACAATCTAACTGCCAGTCTATCAAATTATCCACCACAATAGGGCTGCAGGTTTTGTGGACAGTGAGAGGTAATTGATATCACAGGCCTGCCGTAAATGCTGAGAGCTAGATCATCTAACAGATCATAAGAGAACTAGTAGATAAATTTTGTCTTTGAGGGGTATCAGAAGGCAGAAATTTCTCGTCGCTGACTCATGGTTTTAATCTCTCTTTACCAGGTACTACTGTTGTCTGTTCCTGGCTAGACTGCATTCAGCTCCTCTGGTGAAGCTGGACAGAGACACTTGTGCTGCTATAGATGAACTTATTGATGTGTTCCTAGAACTGCATGTCCCCAATGAGATCTCAAAATGGGAGGAAGAGATGTCTTTTGTGTGGATGACAATGGTGCCACTGGTTCATCTTGCCTTTGCTGCAGGAAAGGAATATTACTGTAACCAAATTTATGGCTCAAAATGTGATATTTCACAAAGTGAAAGGAAACAATCAGAAACTGTGAAAAGTGAGGTGGCTGAGGATCACACGAAGGAACTGCAAAGTAGTTTGTGTCCTTTATTAAATTCTTACAACAGGGTAGGAAATCGTGAAACAAGTTACAAGCGCAAGAAGATTGAAGATAATACAAGTATGGAAATTGAAACTTCAGTGTCTGGGGACAAAAACTTTCTGGCGCCAGGCATGAAAGACCAATTCACATGGCCAGGTTCCGTAACAACACAAAAACTTGGAATCTTTTCCTTGATGCACATGCTTTCACTCAAAGAGAACCAGCAGTTGGCACTAACAGAGAATCTCCTTCCATACTTGGTGTGTCTGTCATGGTGCCTAAAGGATAATGAGAGGGGAAAATTAACAACCAGTCTGGCACACTGTCACAATGTGTCATGGCCTCCTTCTTTGAAAGTCATTGCCAAATCTGTCCTTGCTCTTGTTTATGGCTTAGACATGGTTTTCAAACTATGAACAGCCCAGCGTATAGGAAAATGGTGACAGACCATCTGATATTTCCAAGGAAACCTGCATTTCTTTTCCCATCCATTAATTAAACAAAATTGATCGGTTATGTCAAGCAATCAGGAATTAAATTGTTATATTATTATGATTATTTCTAATCTACACATGATGAACAAAGAGGGTAAAATCAACACAAGAAAATGTTTTGCAAGGCTAAGGTCCGATGGAACTGGATTTTCTTAATTCCATTCTGCATTGTTTCTAATATAACTATTTACAGGCAGTAACTATCAAACTTTATTTTATGGCAGAGTAGTCTTGAGGTAAATCCAAGCCTTTTGATTGGTTCTTCCTCAATCTCACTCCCAGAGTCTTCGTTCCCCTTGACCAGCAGTCGGAAAAAGAGAGCTCTGGGAGCAACCATCTCAGGCATGCACCATAGATACAGACTGCGCAGTGAAACTGAATGAGCAGAATTCGGTTATTTCAAAATGGTTGCTCCCACAGCTCTCGTTTTCCGACCGCTGGTCAAGGGGAATAAAGACTCTGGGAACGAGATTGGTTCTTCCTTGGTCGGGATTTTGCCATACGGACCGTTTCTGTAGAAATTGCCATAAGCCGTGTACTTTTTGTTTTTGAAAGCAGGGAAGTTCATGGTCCAAGTGCCATATATATTAAACTACCGTACGTACTAACCTAGCTTCAGTGCTCGAGCACTGAGAACTCCATTCCTTCGTCTGTTTTCCCCTCAAGGAGGCGAACCGCAATGGGGAAACTGAAAAAAACCCTTCTCTCCTTTGGAAGATTTCACCCCGTTCTGGTGAGATTCAGGAACACAAAAACTCGTAGGCATATTGATATAAAACAGACGAGATCGTCCACGAAGCAAGACTTTTCTTGGAAAGCATTGTCAATACAAAAACAAGGCTCGTTTTTATGGGGGTGTGGGGGGGGGGGGGGGGGGGGGGGGGCTTGAAAACTGT